TTTGGTTTTCCAGCATCTTCTGCATATTTGAACCCTTTCCAACAGTGACTGTATGATTTTGAGATCCGTCTTTTAACACTGAGGACAACTGAGGGACTCATGCATAGCTATTACGAAAGGTCAAAACATTTACTGATGCTCAAGAAGGCCACACAATGCATTAAGAGCTGGGGGGTGTAAACTTTTGAACAGGGTGATGATGTGTAAATTTTTCTTATTTTGTTTAAAGATCATATTTTTTTTCATTTGGTACTGCACTTAAGAAGCTACATAAATACTTAAATGTTTCCCAGAAGACAAAATAAGTACAATTTTCCCTGATCATCCAATTAAAAAAGTTTACACCCCCCATCTCTTAACCTGCAGACTAAAAACAACCCACAGCAGCAGTGGAAAAAATACCCCATTTCTGCAGGAAAACCACAGACTTGGCAACACTGCATACTGACTCGGATAAGCGTCCACACAAGTCAACATCATTTGCCACTAGTGCTGTCACTAATTAACTCACAGTTTTTGTTTACATAATATATGTATGTGTACTGTGTATGTTTATTATGTATATATAAATACACACACATGCATGTATATATTTCAGAAAAATATGATGTTTATATATTAAATATATTTATATATAATATAAATGTAAATATTTTCAAGATATATACTGTATGTGTGTGTGTGTGTGTGTGTGTGTGTGTGTGTGTATATATATACATACATATATATTATGTAAAAAAAACTTTTATTTTGGATGCGATTAATCGTTTGACAGCACTATTTGCCACCATTACTTTTTCAATAATGTACGACTCGCATTGACAGAGGAATATCCGATCTGTCCTCTTACATGGCAGATGCAAATGCACGTATCTGATTCATATCCAAATATGGAAATAAATGAATGAGGCCTGAAACCGATCTGAGAATACTGGAATCCACATTGGAGGAAGAAATAGGTTGCTTGGACCATGTAATGTAAATGTGGCCTTTTGCTTCACACTTTCTGATTTGCATACTGACCTGTCTCTCTGTGTCTGTGTGACAGTGGTTTGCCAGGGCATTGGCATGGCCTAGTAATGAATGGCGACGGGGCTCCCAGCAGCCCGGAGCACTCCTCCTGCACGCTGCCCGACTGGAAGGAGTTCTGTGAGCTTCACGCTCGAGCTTCCGCTGCCGATTTTGCCTACAAGTTCCGGCGATTCATCAGCGAGAACCCATGCTACGACTCGCCCGGTGCTGACGCCAGCTTCTCGCAACACTTTGCTCAACACTTCTTGACCTGCTTCTCTGCCGCCCTTGACCAAGTTTCCGGCTCTCCGGGAGACTCCTCCGCTCCGAAGTACAGCATCGTGCCCTTTGTGGGCCTACAGAGCTGCACGCTGCCCTTCAGCCACGACCTCTTCCATCGGCGCAAAGACGTGGGGGCCTCGAGCGAATCGCTGGATAGCATGGAGAGCGGAGGGGGCGGAGCCAGCGGACAGGAACAGCAGACCCCCACCCGTAAGATGGCAACCGTGAGCCAATCCTGGAGTTCGGAGGATGTGTCATTGGGGCGACGCAAGGCTCGCTTCAAGAAGGGCTTTTCCCTCCGCAACATGAGTCTGAGCGTGGTGGACGGGGTGAAGGAGATCTGGCACCGCAGGGCCTCTCCAGAACCAGACCCCTCGGGGAGCTCCAGGAGGACCAATGGAGCTGAGTCCGTGGGGCCCGAACACTGGAGCCAGAAGCTGCGGCTGCCGCGGGGCTCTCAGGGCCATAAGGCGGAGCTGTTGGAGATCCAGAGGGAGGGTGCGCTCAGATACATGGTGGCCGATGACACTAACTGTATGGGGGCGGCACAGTGGCAGAAATGCAGGTTGCTGCTGAGGAAGACCGCCGCGCATGTGGACGAAGGAGAGAAGTTCCAGCTTGAGTTCTACGTTCCACCAAAGGTAGAAGAGCACTGTGATAAAACTCTTTATTAGTATGCGAGTTTGTGGGTTAGGGGAAGAAAAACATCAGTAGAGGATTAGCACATACACCATAGTTTGGTCAATTACCCGGATCCTCGCCCGTTATTGGAGATACTCGGATGTAAACAACAGCATGGATTGCACAGATAATGTACTACTGAAGACGCTGTTCTAATCATTTACTATGTCTAAAGCCTCATTCACACCAAGAACAATAACTATAAAGATAACTGTAAAGATACCGATATTAGCGAACGTCCACACCAGCGGACGATATCGTCTGTTTATTCTAAGTGCACGCTCGTCTGCCGCTTTAAATTCTCAAACTCGTGACAGCAGGATTGATTCTGATTTGTTGTCAATGATTTTATCGTTCATCTGCTGGAAAAAAAAAAACCTTCTGAAAGTGATTTCAAACGAATTGTTTTTCTGTGCCTTTA